AGTGTTACCCAATTATAGCATCAGATTCAGGACTGAGATCTACAATCATATCAGTAAAATTAGGTCTAGAAGAAAATAATTAACTTTTCCTCCAGTCCTCTTTCTTGGATACAATTTCTCTCAATCTGAACACCTGTAATTAAAAGACCAATTTTTTGGTCCATATCTCCATAGATGCAATAAGTACCAACTTTACATCGGTGTGAAGGCATAGGAAAGTTAAACTCTACGGTCCTGTTTGAAAAGGGAATGGGCTATCAGAGAAGGCACAGTGATTCTTAACTCTGAAATTCAGTAAGGAACAGGCCATCCCTTTAGCGAAGACTGGATCGTGCACTCTGATTCACTTGGCCGTTCTCTGTGTTCTTGGTTCTATCCTCTAGTCATCCTAGTCCTGTTTGCAGCTGAATAATTTTCTCATGCATTTCTTGTTCACAGAAGTTCAGAGGTCGAAATTCTTTTCTTTTTGTACTATTTCTGTGTCTTTCATTTCACAATAATGTAAATCTTTTTAAAATTTTGTATTTCTTCCCAGTCTGTTTCTGCTGCTATAACATCTGAGACTAGATAATTTATACACAAAAGAAATTTATTTCTCAAGGCTTTGAAGGCTGAGACGTTCAGGATTAAGATACCAACAGGTTCTATGTCGGGTGAAAACCTTCTTTCTCTGCTTCAAGATGCTGCTTTTGGCTGTGTTCTTACACAGTAGAAAGGAGAGGATAAAATGGTACAGACTCTTGGTTTTCATATGCTGGAAGACTGGCCTCAGCTAGGGCTGTTGTTTCAAGTGCCTGAACAGCACTTTTTCATGATAGGAGCTTCAGACTAGCCAGATTTCTTACTTGGAAGCCTAAGACTCCAAAAGTAAAAATTTCAGTGTACAAGGTAAAAGGTTCATGACTTTTTATGATCTGCCCTCACAAGTATTGTTTCTTCCCCCCTATGGGGTCACAAAGCCACTCAAATTTAAAGGAGGTAGAATTGGATACTACCTCAATAGAAGGAGTATCAAAGAATTTGAAGACATATTACAAATTACCACAGGGGTGTACAGAGAAGACCTTCTAACAGGAAGGGATATCTGAACTGAAATATCAACAGAACATGAATTAGATGAAGGGATGGAGTGGATAGGGAAAGATGTTCAAGGTAGAGATGAGCACAAGGTAAATCATGGACCTTGAAGAGATTTGAAAACTTTTGTGGAGCTGCAGTGAGAGTTTAGTGGAACGATAAGCAGCAGACAGATGGAAGAGTTAACAGAATTACTCTTAGACATTGGTAAGAAGGGACTTTATTCTGAGCTGTACACTTTAAAGAGCACCCTTGGACGGTCATTAATCCTTGGTCCTTCCTATATTATGAGGAGTTGTAAACCAGAATCAAGAGGGTTTGGTCATCTGGAAATGATGTCTCCTTCTAGGCTAGGCTTTGAACAACTGGAACCTTTAAATGCTTTGCCACACTGGTCCTGAGACTTCAGTAATTGTGCAAATCTAAGAGATGATCAAGGAAGCACTGTTGGGAGAGGCAGTGGCTAGAGACAGGACATGAGAACTGAGATGTGTGAAGGCTCATACACAGGGCATTCTGCAGTGCAGAATGAAAGGACACAGGGCAGGAACTTTAAGTCTTGCAGTACCTCAAGGCTCTAGTCTGGAACTCTGAGAATTCCAAGAATTTTAAATTTGAATTGGGCCTTTCAGGCTCGTGAACTTACATTTGTCAAGGCATTAAGGTAGAACAGCTTTAAGAACAGTTTGATAGCTTAATCTATAAGATGGTAAATGGTATTTGGTCTCCATTACTATTAGTATCTTGGGAAATTCAAGAAGCCAGAAAATTATATACACCAAGCTAAGGAATTTATATTATACCTTGAGGGTAAGGTGGAATTATTGAAGGATTTTAGTTAAATGCTAAGTGATATTTATTTACTGATTTTTATAAGTACATAGAAGGGAACATGGCACATTGTAGACACATAGTAAATATACTTGAATGAATTAACATTTGAATTTTAGGAACATAATTCTACATCAACATGAGGAATGTTTTGGAGAACAGCAGAACTAGAAGTGTAGGAGATGAATCAAAAAGCTCTAGAAGAAATTCAGAAAAGGGGTCTGGTGGCCCTTAATCAGTTATAGATAGTGAGATGGAAAGAATTGGAAAGAAAAGAAAATACATGTCTATTCTTGTGTTTGAAATATTATGTTACAATGTTTATTTTATGGATCCATCTCTTATCCCATCTATGACATCCTTGGCAATAAGTCATAACTTCCTCATCTCTTTATTTTCAACACCCCGAGTGGGCATACACTTAAGTAAATATTTACTGAGTTCATTAATGTATAAAAATTATAAGTTCTAATTCTCAGAACAGCTTTATGAGATACCTCTATTTGGTTAAGGAGACCAAGTCTTAGAGAGATTAATACCTTAGATTAAAATCTGAACATATTTACACGGCCCACACCACCCAATGTCACTTGGCACTACCTATTTCTCCAACATGGATAATTCACTGTTTCCCTTTATTCACTACTTCAACTAGACTGGCTTTATTCCTTTTTATCCAGTAGTCAAGAGCTTTCCCATCTCACTTTTTTCCCCCCACATTTGGTATTACTGTTGCTCTTTCACTTTTCACTTGCACTGGGCACTTTCACCATCTCAGATCAGATGTCACCTTTTCAGAGAGCTCTACTCAGCCTTAAGAAGATCCTTCTAAATGAGAGTCAGTGTAAATCACCTCACTCATATCACCAGGTTTTGTTTTCTTATAGCTATTTCACTGTCTGAAATTACCTTGTTTACGATATATACCTGCACGTATCAGTAACTTTTCTTCTCCAACAGAAAGCAAGCTCCTCCAGGGCAGAGTTTTACCTTTATCCCCAGCAACTGAAACACCATCTGACACACTGTCAAAAATCAAAACAACTTCGATCCAATTTCGATCCATGGTACAGAAAAAAAAAATCTGCCTCATTACTTAATTGTGATATGGTAAATAGGACTGCTGTAATCATGGCCAGGATACCAGGAGTAGATAAGGTTTTGTGACTATTGTCAAAATACAGAAGGCTATAATTACTCTAATTGTCACAAGTCTACCAAGCCACATTATTCAGAGGCTGTAGAAACTTACAGAGCTACAGACTCAAGAAAGTGTTAGGAGAAAAATGGGCTGATTCAGTGGTTTTATTGAGTGTGGGTGAGAAAATGATGTAGTCATGAATTTTCTTATTGCGTGTGCAGGTAAGGTACAGTGAGTTGAAGAGTGGCTACATTCTGGGACTTTGGATGGCAGTGGTAGAGTGGATATTGAAAAGTATTTAGAAAATTTGAGAAAATGTCAATGTCATAAGAGGACAGATACTAGGGAATATCTGTTAGTTTAGTAGATAGAGTCAGAGGAAAGTAGGAATGTGGAATTGAATAATAGAGCAAAGTCCACAAATGCTTTGAAGTTGTTTAACTGTGTGTGTGTGTGTGTGTGTGTGTGCACGTGCATGCATGCGTGTGTGTGCGTGTGTGTGTGTGTGTGTGTGTGTGTGTGTGTGTGTATTAATGGCATTTAACTCTATCTAGAAAAAATGGTTCCTGTCATGGTTTGGGTCTAGATATTCCCAAAAGCCTCATGCAGTCATAGGCGGCAGTCATAGGTGGCCAGAGTGTGTGATGCTGGGATTACAGGAGTGTAATTACCAAATCAATCCACTGATTGGCTTGGCACTGCCCTAATCCTGGTAGTCTGGATAAGATAAAGGGGCAGAAAGATTCTGTTAAGGTCCCTTTGTTGCTTTGCTGCCTTGAGTCCATCATGAACTATTGCCCCCCACTGCCATGCGCTACCCTGCCTTGGAGCCAGCCAATTGACTGAAACCTCTACTACCTGTGAGCTAAATAAACCTTTCCCCTTTAACTTGGGTGTCAGATATTTTGACTCAGCCATGAGAAAAGTAACTAAGACAGTTCCTAAAATATGATTGTTCATTTCCTAACTTTCCTAGGATACAAAGAGCCCACAAGCTAATTGGTAATGCATAAATTCAAAGAGTAGTCTACTATAGGAATTACTATAAAGCAATGTTCAAAATAAAGCATAATATGGTTCTTTAAAATGAATTCTTTTATTTTCATAAGTTCTTGACTACAATAACATTTTTAAAATCTGTCTTAGTAATCCTAGGAACATTAAGCACCACATACCCTCTTCCACCCTTGGCTCTTTGTTTTTTCCCAGTCCTACTTAAACCTCTACATTTGGATTGTGACCCAGGATCCCTCCAGTATACCAACATATGTCTCCAGTCAAAAAACTAATAGCTGTTTATTGCTGCCCATAATTTTAAGGTACTGTGCCTGGGCTTGGGTGAGGGGAGTGGGTGTTAGGAGAAGATCCCTAAATAAACCTTGCTCTAGAGCTGTGTGGCCTTGGGAAAGTCACTTACCCTCTGAATTTCTTTTTTGTACAATGTTACACTTTTAGGTTGGTATTATTTATAGCTTGCCTCCAAATTAAAGGGATTATAGACAGAAGCAACTCCTATCAAAAATAGCTTTTCAATATTATGTGAGCTTGAGGGTAATACTGTAAAGGTCCAGATGTAAAATTAAGAACAGAAACAAGAAGATGTGACTAACAGGAATTATTAAAGTATTGGAGATGTGTATGACCGGTGCTCAAGGAAAGGAAACATGTAAAGAAAGTTAAATAGAATAGTTGTAAAAGATTTTGGAACAATTTCTTCATGGAAACTTTGACAATGTGTTATAACAGACTTTCCTGATAAGTAAAATTATCCAAGAAAATGATGCATACCATGCCACCAGGCCTTTCTTGATTGTTACTTTTGTATTACTCCTCTATGTCTGCCTCTTCACCAGGTAACACACTTTTCAAATAGGATTACTATTAGTATAAATTTCATAACTTTCTTTTACAGCTTTCTGCTTGTGCCTAGATTATTGGCCCTTCTAAGTCATATTATGACTTATACTCTCTCATTGTCGTCCCTTGTAACCATCCATTTATTAAATTGTTTTCTCGGATTCCCATTAAAACTAAGTTCTTCAAAAACAGACATTGCATTATTTGTGTTTTTGGTATATGGCTTGGTGCATGACATCAGCTGGTGGTACATAGATAGGCTGATCAACAGATGGGTAGTTGTAGGTATATGAACAAATCTATCTGAAATAAAAGTACTATAAATCAATTCAGCCAACAAGTTGGACTAGATCTCAAGACACAGCAAAAATGGAAGCAGAGTCCTTTCCCTGATTAATTGGCTAGGGCAGCTTGGAGGCGCATCACATGCCTTTTGCTTGAACTTTCACAGCAGATTAGCTCTTGTTTCTTGGAGCACTAAATAAGCAGAAAGAAAAGAGGTTTGTAACTCTACCAAATAAAAGTCTATTTGTTCTCAAGACACTGAGCATGTTGTTCAACCCAGTGAGTTCATCCCTGCATTTGCTTGAACACTGCAAGGGTCAGAATGGCAGGAGAGTGACAAGCCACTTGGTTCAAATCATACCCATTCAGGCTGCCCCAGGCCAATATTAACCTGGGCAGTTGCTTTGCATTCCTTCTTTTTGCTAAAAAAAAAGAAAAAGAAAAAAAATATTCAAGCATAAATATACAGCATGATTACTTGTGCATATCTCCCATGCCATGAGCGGTGTGTGTTTCATGCCTGTGGGCAGAAATAACCATTTCCTACTCTCATTCTAAGTACTAACTCTTCTTTAGTTTGCATTGATGCACAGGGGTGGTGCTACTGGCAGAGATAAGGGGTTCTGCTTGTAAACAGAGTCCTCTAGCCCTACCCTGGAGCTCAGCTCCCATAATTCCATAAGAAAATGGGAAAAGCGATAGAAATGAGAAATTTAGGCACTTCGAAGTCAAGAATTCTAATCCTTGATCCAATCTAATTGCTGCTTAGGGTTAAAATTTAAAAGTGCTTTAAAGTTGGGCGCCAGTTATGGGGAGTTCTTATCTAATAAGATCCAGCACAGCATATGACTAATTAGATGAGAGAAAAAAAGAAAAAACCTACTTTAGAAGTCATATGCACAGAGATTGCAAAGATTACAGTCCAAGGGTAAATACTGTATATTATTTATAGAAGCTAAAACTGGAACCAATCTTGAATATTCACGATAAGGAGTTAATTTTGTAGATCAATAGATATATTGCATATGGAGCATACGTACAGTGAAATATGCAATCATTTAAAAATTATGTAGTGGAAATATTTAATGATATTAAAAAATTCTCAACATATTACATTAAAGACAAATTTGATAGATTCCAAATTTAGAGAAAATGTATGAATATTTTCAAAAGAAAAAATAAATATGTGTATAGAGGTAAATTTTTTCTATGAGATCTTAAAATTATTTTTTAAAATTTTCAACAAAACACATCCTACTCATATAATCATACGAATAGTACTATTTAAAATAAATTGTTTCTGATTATGGTGGTTCATATGAAAGAGAACATAGGATGGGGATGTATTCTTATATAATTAAGAAACTAAGTGAATAAAATAATCAAGAATTTACTATGGAAACTAAAAGATGGATGGATTAAAACTGATTTGTAAAAATTTGCATGACAAGAATACAAGGCTCACCCTCTCTTCAAATCAGAGCCTGTTTGTGGGAGATCATCTGGCATCAGTATTTAATGCTCTAGTGTAACCGGAAGTCCCTTATGCTTTCTCTCTGGCACAGCAGAAGTGTAATATGTAGGACTTGCACTTTAAATATTATATCCAGTAAGACAATAAAGGCCTCTGGTTTCTTAAGGAACTTCAGACATTGGGAAGTATATGGGAGGCATGTGTGATTTGTTTTATGATGAGAGTATTAGATCCAGATTCAAAATCCTGGAACTTGAACCACAACTTCACCAGCCACTCAGTGCCTTAACAAGATTACTAAATTCCCTGAGCTCCAACTGCCTCATCTATAAACTGAGGATGATAATAATTACTTTAGCATATGGTCATGAGGATTTATTCATTTAATCAAAAAGTTTTTATCAAGCATATACTTTGTACTGTAATAAACACCTAGGATCTACCAGTGACAATCCTTGTCCTAGTAGTTTAGAATCTAGAATCTAGTGGAAGACATGGGCAGATAGACAGAAAATTACAAGAGTGTGGCAGTTGCTATAAGTGGGATATTATATAACACTGGAAACACACAAGAATTCTACTAACCTGAAAGAAGTGGTGATAACTAAAAAAAGAAAATAATAATAATAATAAGCAGGAAATTTCTAGGCAAAGGTGGGGAGAAGACTGTCCCAGAACACTTGAGATCTGGTAATAACAATGAAGAAATACAGACCAATTTGATATAAATTTGGTAGTTTAAAAGTCATTGAGCACATCTGTCCAAAATATACTGTTTAGAGGAGCCCTGATGTAATTAACAGTTTGTCTTTAAATATAACTTAAACAAAAGTTTAATCATTGATTTCGATAAAAAGCGTACACAACAAAATTCGGTAATAAGTAATTATTTGAAAAAAACCACTAATACACTGGATAACATATCAAAAAACATAATTGTATTTCAGATTCTAAGACAAAAAATGGAATTTCTTTCAATTTTCTCACATTATCTTCTTTACTTTTTTTGTCCCCAACTCCCCTCAGTCAGATGAATGTGGACCATGTCTGCTTTTTGCTATTGCCTTGATCCAGATACAACTTTATAGATAAAAACAAGGAAGATATGGCATGAAGACCATGCTAAAAGGTTGTATATCAAGGAGCTTTGTATGAGGCAACAGTGAGTTTTGATAACAATGTGTGTGTGTGTGTGTGTGTGTGTGTGTGTGTGTGTGTGTGTTTGTGTGTATGTTTAAGATGCATTGTATTTTGGGGTGCTGGGACTATACATGGATATCTTGTTTAACTCTGGGGTCATGCTTCAGGACAGAAACTGATAATTTGGTGCCCATTCATGGGACAGGGACAAGACTTTACACTGTCAAGAATAGTGACAGAAGCAAGAAAGAAGTTTATTTGGAGATGAAGAATACACAAGAATACTGCTAGCTATCTTCAAATATAAAAGCAACAGTTCCTTGTAAGCAATCATATTTATTTGTTGTGGGTTCAGTAAAAACATAAATTGGGCTGAATTTTCAGTGCAATTAAAAGGATCATGTTATAATAGTGAAAGCTTGGTCAGACTTGGAATAAGTTACCTCAGAGGGGAAAATTTCCTTATTATTGTGCCAGCAGATATTGATGACCTCTTATCCAAGAGTATCTTAGCATCTTAGATAAAACTTTAGTTTCTTAAGTGATACTTTAGGGAAGATTCAAGCATCAAATGGACAGAGAAATTTTAAGTTTCCTTGCCCACCACAGATACTATGTGGGTAGTATATTCTGAGAAAATAATTATAACATAATTATCATCATGAACTACAACTAAAAAAATTGAATTCCATTCTTACTCCCTGGGAGACATGCTGTCCAGCACAGCAGTCACCAGCCACATGTGACTATCAAGCACTTATAGTGTAGCTGATCTAATTTGAGGTGTTCTATACATACAAAATACAGGACTGATTTAATAATTATATAGCTTATATGTTGGTATACTGGGCTAAATGAAATATACTATTAAAATTAATTCACTTGTTCATTTTTATTTTTTAATATAACTCTTAGAAGTATTAAGATTACATGCGTGGTTGGCCTGGGAGAAGTCCAATATTCTCAGTTGAACCTTTCCAAAATATATAGAGTCTTGGGACAGAGCTTCTCTCAAGCATCTCCACATTCACTGGGGCAGGTTGCAGGCCTGCAGGAAATCTAGGCCATGGAAGCCAGTAGCCAGGGCCTTGCACCAAACCTGACTAAAACTGTGACAGGGAACAAACTGTGCTGAACTCAGAAACAAACTCAAATAGATCAAAAGGTTTTAATTTCCGAAAACACTCAGCTGAAATATAATCAAGGAATGTCTTCGAATTGGAATTGAATCCACCTACGTATTTCCTGAAACTAGTGAACAACCATATCACACATAGCCAACATTGATTAGATTTGGGTTTTGTACTTGTAACCAAGTACAAAATGTTTACCAATCCCATGTATTTTGGCTTCTGGCATAGATACTGCTTTTATAGTAAAATGAGTAGAGTCAGCACTCTTCACTAAGCAAGAATAAATGGGTATTGCCTGTTCACAAATAGCAGGAACTGCTACATACACATGAAGACAATCTGAACAGATGGAGTAACCTTTTTACATGCGGTCGGGATGCAGCCTCAAAGACTTCAAGGTTGAAGAGCACAACACTGGAGTCACAAGGACTTATGAATTACTGCTCTGCCTGCTGACCACTGTCTAATCCTATACAAGTTAGTAATTCTCCTAAAACTTCAGTCTCCTTTATCCATAAAGTACACAAAACACCACCTGATTCACACCTTCATATAATTACTGAGATGATTTAATAGTTACATATGTGTGCACATAGATGGAACTTACCGTCATTATCATTATCCCCAATTAGACTGAGCTTCTTAGAAGCAGGATTGTGCCTTTACTTAATCATTACTCAATAATTGTTTGTTGAAAGGTGTCCACGTGCCCACCCTGTTCTCAATTCTGGGGATATGGAAATGGCAAGTCCTTAAATTCTTACAGTTTATATTCTACTGGAAAATCACATGTAAACTAGTTTGCAGGTAAAAATATAATTTCAGCAATAGTAAGTGCTAAGGAGGAAGGCAGAGAGGGACAAAGGAATACAGGCTGATGCAGTGGATGGCAAGGGATGTTATTTTCAGTGAGGATGTCAGTGAAGATGTCTCTGAGTGGAGATTTGACTGAGGTGTAGGAAACAGTTGGCGAAGGGCAAAAGGAAGCATGTTCCAGGAAAAGGAAGCTGCAGGTGCATAGGGAGGATGAGCTTAGTACTTTGGAGAACAGCAGAAAAGAACAGTCATTGAAACAAATTGAGTAAGATAGGAGATCTGCTGGTTTTGGCAGGATGGAAATTACTGGTGACCTTGGTCAGAGCATTTTCAGAAGAGTTTGGAAATACATGTGAGTGGAATGGATTAAAGGGAATATAGAAGACTGAGAATTAGAGATAGATATACTGTTTTGAAGAACTTTAAAGTGATCAGGGACCGAGAAATGGGTCCACAACTAAAATGGGAGACAGTGAAATGAACTATATGTTGATGAGACTGATTCTGCAAAGAAGGAGAAACTATCAGTGCATGAAAGAGAGGAGATGATTTCAGGACAACTGTAGAAGCCTACTCCTTGAGTGTATGAAAGAAGACAGGAACCTAAATGTGGTCCCTGGCACGAGCAAGAACTGTTTATTTCTCTAACAGGAAGGTGAGAAAAATATGTAGGTCCAAATGTCAGCAGGCTCATCATTTTGGTGTTGGATAGCTGAGAGAGGTCTGGTGATTTTCATTCTCTCATAATCTAGGGAGTGCTGAGAGGAAGGAGGTTGTGAAGGAAGTCACAGTTACCATCTTACTTCCTGTGTAGAAAGCAGACCTATACAAATGTTCTCAGAAATCTTTGTTGACTACACAAAGAAGTTTCAGCTACATGACCCACAGAAAGAGAAAATACACACTTCTGTTAACAGCTTTAATCCTATCTCTTCCATCTTATTCTTTCTCCCATCTGCTCTGACTTGCTCATGCTATCAACATTTCAGTTTAGGTCAACAAACATTTATTAAGTACTTGCTGTGGGACGCACCTGTGCAGGTACAGCCAAATGGAATTCAACTGGTGGATGCAATCATAGCTCTGAGGAAGTGATCCTCTTGTCTAGATATCTGAAAAGTAAACAGATTACATTACTAAGGATAAGGGTTTTGATGAGTATCTGATGATGGTGTCTTAACTTTCTGAGTGTCACAGAAGAGTATCCTTGATCTGAGTCTCTATGTCACCCAAATTTCTCTCCAGGTGTTTTAATTATCTTTCACTTTTAAGGCTGTTCTCCAAACCCACTTCTCCAATTAGAAATGATCTTTCACTGCACTGGTTTTCTAAAGGACACAAAATAGTATCTCCTCCAGCACCCCGGAATCAAGTGTTTCCCTCAGGAAAGATGTCACTGGTGTCAGCAATTTGATTCCAGGACAGAACTGTGAATAAAGGAGAGTTCATGGTTCCCATTGTGCTTTCTCTTCCCAGCTGCTAACCTCAGGAGAGTGAAAAGACTGGGGGATAGGGCAGGGTTAGAATAGAAGATGGAAGGACCAGGGTCAGGATCCCAACCAGATTCCTCTTGTGCAGCTCTGTGAGGCTCTGCTGAGTGTTCACGTTGCAGTTCAGATGCCGGAATCAAGCAAAGAACTGGAACCACTATTCTGTGGGGAGCCCATGACATGCTGCCTGGCACTTTCACTAGCAGGGGAACAAGGGCGAGGGTTGTAGGGCTGCTTTTCAGGACAAACTGCCAGCTCAAGCAAGTGAAACAACAGGCCAGAAATTTGCAGTCTTTAAGCACAAAAATCATCATAAAAGGCTCTGCTGTGTGTGTGTTTCTCAAAGCCACAGCAAATATTTGCTGTATTCCCTTATGGCTTTAATTTCTAAATCATCGCCATGGAAAGGTCCACAGAGACCAGTGCAATGCCATCCACAAGAGCCTGACTGCATGTCCTGCCCACCTCTTGCCCCATGGGAAAAAGACAGTTTTGCCTGAATATCTTAAGGAAGCCTTTCATTTCCTCCTTTTCTCCTTTTCTTCTCCTCTCACGGCTTCTTTTACCTGACAAAAGAAATGCCTTAGAGACAGCTCACTGGCTTAAAAAATTAAAAATAAAAATAATATGGAAAAATTATCTGGGTCCAGTTCATTTGAGATTAGAATAAATGTGTAGATATTCGATGTGCTGGCTCCACTATCATAGATTTACCGGCATAATAGCCCAGGGCTGGGGGCCAAAGCTGAGCTCATGCAGTAATTTCTTTACCTTCCCAAGAGTGGAACTAAAAACAAAACGCAAGTCCAAATCACTTCACTGAACAAGCTGAGAGTGTGAAGATGAGTAAACCTTTCTGTAAAGTTACCATTGCTCCTCATTGTCACCCCAAATTCTTCTAAGCCACAGGCATAAAACAGGAATTTCCATCCAATTTCTAACATGTTTCAGGCCAAAATGTATTTTAAATGTTGGAAACATAATTGAATTGTCCACTGGACATGAAAACAAGTACATAAATTGTAAAGTCCCAGTTCTGTCTTTTCCTGAAGTAAAATAAAGATGACAAATTTATCACCCAGATAGGAGCTAAAAGCCACTATTTCTTTAATATCCAAGTGCTCTGTGGTGTCCCAACATTTTGGTCCCACTAAATATGCAAGAATTTCCATCTAGAAATAGTAATTCCCACCAGAAATGGTCCTACCTGCTTCTCACTGAAGTCTCCACACTGAAATCTACAGGTATATGTGATTTAATTATCCAAGAAGAAGAAAACAAATATTTCATCTTTTTCATATTCTTTCCCTAAGAAGCTTTCAGTGTTCTGAAATTTGTGACTGTCCATGATACTTTTCATACTCACCTTCCTACAACTTGAATAAGAGCATTTGTTTTTCTGAGACATCTTGGGTTGCAGAAGTGGGAGGGAATGAGGGCTGGAAATATACAGAATTTGGGAATTTAAGCTCAGGTATATTGGAGGTATTCCATAAATCACTGAATTGAATCATTGAACAAATGAATGTATGAAGACATTAACTGACCACTTTAGATATTTCAAAATAATGCTAAATCAGAGGAAATTTGCCCTTCTTGAGATTGGGTAGAAATAAAAAATAAAAATAATATAAAAGTAGATTTATAGGTAACATTCTTGGATGCTAGCTCCATTCCAGGCTGTGAAGAGCAAACTTTAAGGTATGGGAAATGGCACAGGGCCATCCTACACATCTCCTTTGGTCTCCTTCTAGGAGTTTCAACATAGATACAGACATTGACTTCTTTGGCATCCTCAATTTTCTGTTCTTGTGAAGATGAAAATCTGAGATCTGGTAAGGAGTCCGACTTCTTCAGAAGAATTAAATTTCCAATAAGCACCTCAATCTAAAAGCTTGTAGCTATGGACTTCTCTTCTTGTTGCATGGTCTTCCCAAGTGTACTATTGTTTTTATTCACTGAGGCAGTGCAGTCTTGGATAAACTACCTTGATCTCTGCCCCTAAACTGTTCCTTTCAGAAAGAGATGCAAGGCCGTAGCTACCTACCTCTTCCTCCAGCTCTGTAAAATACTGGTTTCTATTCCTGGAACATCCAGTCTTTCTGTATGAGGACATGCAGATCATTTTCCCCAAGCATTATACAAAGGCTCTTGGTCTAGTTCATGCACTGTTTATGAATGGAAAGGTATCAGGTATCCAGCTTGATGGGATTTAGAATACATCTGCTGGAGGTACGCAGAATCTCAGCTGTGATTTTTCCACTTAAACTGGGTCAAATCTATGCACAGCCACTGTGCCCTGTCTTTAGATTGTTTAACTGTCTAGTTTGGAGGACACAACAAGAATGCAAGATGAAAGCAGCTATCAGCTTTCAGCCAAGAGCTGAAAGGGCTCTCCTACAGAAGCAAGCATCAGGATTGATTGTGGAGTTCTTCTGAGGACAAAAGAGGTAAAATGAGGAGCAGCTGGTGATTGAGAGCAGGCTGTGATAGAGTGCCTGAGTTGCAAGATGACTAATGTATCTGGTCTACTGAACAGCGCCTGAAACAGTTTTGGAGTTTTTGGTCACTTCTCATGCTCTGACTCTCTTTTTATTTGATTTGGCCTCAAGTATATCCCCAAACTTCTCAGATGCCAAGATTGTTCATTAAAAATGTTGTTTAATCTGGTTTAAAATTCCTAACTATAACTAATTTACTATCTCTCTTTCCTACATGTGGAAAATGAGCTTGATCTTTCCTGTCTTTCCTATTCTGGCTCCCTACACAGAAGAGGAAAGAGAGGCACATGTCTGAGCCTGGGCTCTTCTCTTTCCAGGGCTTAAGTTCTGTGCTGCTTGAGGCTCATTGTGAGAGTAGGGGAGGCAGGGCCCATTAGGGTGGTCCTGGCCTTATGGATGAATTCTTTGGCTAATACTACTGGCTTTTATGTGGTACAGACACTCATACTGGCCTTCTGAGGATTTATATATGAACTTATGTCTGGCCAGACCTTATTTTTGCCCAGTTTCCTTTATAATCCATATCCATAACTTTTCCTAATTATCGCCATTGAGTCAGAAACTACCTCTTGACACATTATTGATGTTGAGAGCTTTGGACTAAAGTGTCTAAGGTAATCAACACTGGAATCACAGCTGAGGTCCATTCTCTACTCCTTCCTTAACAATGCTGAGCCTTTTTTTCCAGTTTATAAATCATAGATAACAATAATTATTTCATAGAGTTATAGTGAAAAGAGCCATGGGCTCTATCAAGATGTACTTATTAGTGAATCAAACTGCCTCATAGGATAGTTGCAAGAATTAAATGAGCACCGATATGGACTGCATTTTGAACAGTACCTGGAACAAACAAGCATTCAAAATATGCCAGTTAGTGTTATTAAAATGCAAGGAGGCCTCGGGATTTAGCTCAGTGGTTCTGTGCCTGACTACCAAGCACAAGGTCCCGAGTTCAATCCCTGGCGCACACACAGAAAACAAAAACAATGCAAGGAAATGCATAGCTTGAAGTATGGCACCTAATAGCTATAATTATGGAGCTAAAGGGCAACTTCTGATGCTAAACCCCTGCAGTACGTTTGGTGTTAACATAGGGCATTTCTCTCCTTATTCTTTCTTGGCTTTAAACATTTCCTTGCCTCTGGATTTTTCAGCTTCCTGTGTTCTGACTGTGAATTCAGGAGCCTGCACAAGTCCAGGCAATGCTCCCTCTGCCTCTGAAGCCAACACCATCCACCTCCAGCTGAGTTCTCTCCCCTCAAAAACAGCCCGCTGTTAGCCTCTAGGCCCTGCAGGGTAGAGCTCTGTGCAAAGCTGTTTATCCTGTAGTTAAACTCAAATGCTTCCACTCAGCAGATTTCTTCACTGTATGAAAGCTTAGGTTCAGTCAGTCATAGGTATTTCTGCATTACCCTCATGTGGGATCAGACACACATCTTAGACAACTGATTTGTCAGCAGCCAGCCTTGTACTTTGAGTTGTTTTTCCAGTGTGGATATAAATTAATACCTTCTTACCCACACGTTCACATTCAGATTACTTTGTGATCAAGAGGTATAACAGCCTTTTCATGGTCTGAATCCTGCCTCAGTTGTCTTATATCACCTGAGCCCAGTCAAAACAAAGTACAGATACCATAAGCGCTGTACTCACCAGCTCTCCAGGTTTGACAGACACTTCCCATCTTCTGGTGGGAGCCTTCCTCCTGGCTGCCGTTACTTTTTTCCCCCACAAACTTATTCATCTTTCAGAACTAAGTGGGACTTCATCCTACCTGGGACCTCTTCAGGTCTTTTCTATTTTTATCAGTTGGGCAAGCTATCTTTCCTTGGTTCTTCCATACATATAATCCTACATCATGTTTAGCTTATATTTTGACTTCGCCAATAGACACCGAATTCCTTAGAGACAAATATTGCACATTATATAACTACATAACCCCACCACAGAATCTATAGCAATACACTCATTAAAAAGTTGGTAGTAGATAAATAGTTGAAATGTAAATAAATTTTTCAAATAGCTATCTGGGGTAGCTCTGTTGATTTGTAGATCGAAGAACAAAAACACATAAACATAAGAAAGGACACTGACACTACTAGTTAATGTGTCTTGGTACATGGTGCAAATAAACCAAGCTTCCCAGCTCGGGGAAGCTCGGTGTGGGGATACAAATCTCGGAAGAAGTCCTTATGCTAATCAAAAACTTCCTTCAAAAGTTGACATTCTGAACATCACCATCCGGACTGTTAGGAGAGGTTGTTAAAGGGACCGATATACAACCATCTGTTTTCAGTACTATACTCATGTCAGAATGATAAATTCATACTAAAGCAATGATAGAAACCTCAGCTGTTCAGACATAACTCAGGCAGCATCAGGCGTGTCTGTGTAGGAGTGCTTTTTCTCTCTCACTCAAGTACCTCAATTAGGAATGTCCCCATGTTCTTGTGCTTTCTGTTCACAAGAACTTCTGATGAGGCATCTTTGTCCACCTCATCCTTATTGAAATGCATGTACTTTACTCTGCTATTGCTGAGATGCTCTCTGAAAAGAAATGTTTTTCCTT